CAAAAAGTGGAATTGCTGCAAAAAATGGGTAAAGGCATATTCTTTGATTCTCTAATTATTCCGAAATATGTTTATCAATTTCCTGCAGCTCTGCGTGCGGGGGGGGGGGGGGGGGGCACGCAATAAACTGCAAGTTGATCTGTCAGCACTATCCTTATCTTCAGAGGAGATGTTCTTATTTTATTTGGCTAAATGTAGTATTTCATCTCAATGTACTCCATCTTTGATAGGATTTAAATCAAATTCCTCGTCATTATAAATATCACAAATACACATCAAATAGTTTTCTGGTTGCAATTTTCTAATTTCGACTATGCATAATGTATGCTTTATGCATGCGTGCATTGAAAGAAATGTTTAATAAAGTAAACAAATAAATATTAAGCTTTTTTTGTAAATTTTGATACCCTTTAGATCATAATTGCTCTTTATTTCATAAATTACAGTTTCATATTTTTAATTTTATAATTTCTGCATGCCATCTTACCAGATTTAAACTGATGATCTATAATCCGGAAAAACCAATAATCTGAAGTTCCGACGAGTCCGGATTAAAGACTTTTGACTGTAGTATTTTTTGTATGACCCGCACACCAAGATAGCATCAGAAATGTGGAAATCACCACAATCCCCATGGAAGCAGAAATTCTGCCAAGATCGCTCTAAAGGAAAGGTGATGCTAGAGGTATTCTTCAATATCCAGGGCACTGTGCATCTGGAACTTATCCCTGAAAGGATGCACTGTGAACAAAGAACTCTACGTCAAAGTCCTGCGTCGTTTGCGTAAGTCGATCCGGAAGAAGAGACCAATGTGGGCTGAGCAGTCATTGGTGCTGTTGCATGACAATGCTCCTGCTCATCAATCCCTCCTCATCAATGACTTTCTTGCAAAAATGAAAACAACTGTTTTGCCTCATCCTCCTTACTCACCTTATCTTGCACCTTGTGATTTCTTCCTATTTCCTGAACTGGGAAGATGCTTGCAGGGTCATTGATTTCAATCTTCAGATGAAGTTAAATGTGCATTGCAGGCTGAATTAAAATGGATACCAGATATGTTTCGATGAACTTTACAGGCGCTGGCAAAAGTGTGTCACATCCTCCTTTGAAACAAGGGTCTTATTTCGAAGGAGGATGTGTTTCTGAAATTTAATTGATAATATTTTTTACATTATAGACTCAGTCCGAGAACTTTTGAATCCTACCTCATATAAACTAATTTTCACATAGCATAAAAATATTGAATGATTGCATTTAACACCAACACAGCATTACTGAAATTACTGCAACGTCAATGGAAATTTATCAATTTGTATGACTAAAAATTAAATGCTATTTCATATACTTAACACGGGTTTGATAATGCTGGACATATCATACCCACCCCCCTCTGTTTTTTTGCTGTTTCTCTCCAACTTTTTTTTTAAATGGAAGATTCTTCTTGTAGCTGCCCCCAAGGCCATAACCTTGGAAGAGAAGAATATGAGAAAGTGTTCTAAAAATAGATATCTTGAAATCGTCACTCCAGTGTGTGTCACACCCAGCGCGAGCATTTCTGTTACAATTCTGAGTACTAGTAGACGCACTGAAATCGTTATCTCATCATGGCGTGCTTTTGATGTTATAATGAAGAAATGTGGCGTTTAAGAAATTTACCTGATACGTTTCTTTGGGTGAAGAAAGTCTTGAGAAAGGTAATGAGTTTTCCAATAATGAAGAGGTGGATGATGAAGAAATTTGCAGGGAACATGAATCTTCAATTGAAATAGAATCTGAGTTAAAGGGCAATCTTTCTGATTCAAATGAAAGTAAACTATTTTACAGTCAAAAGTCGTTAATTCGGACACCCATAATCCGGACCTCAAAGCTACAAACTTTCTGCGCATGCGTCGCGTTCACGCATGCGCACAGGCGTTTACGAGAGCGCGTAAGACCCTTACGGCTGCGAATATGTTTGTGCGCATGCGCGTTTAAATTGTAACGGAGTTATACGCTAAGCTAAAGTTATATAATTCAGTTAATGTTGCCGATTGCGTTGTTCCTTAATCTTCGAATTGGATCCGGCTTATTATTTTTTTGCAGACTGTTTAGCAATTTTATAAAAGTAAACTTGAAACTTTCGATTATGTCAAATAGAATTTCCGATATATATTTACTACAAAGCGAAAGTATGTTTTGAAATCCGAAATCGGTTTTATCAATTTCACACGCTGCTCTGCGCAGAGGGGGGGGGCAGAAACGACATTATTAGATTATGATAGATTAGAAAGATTATGTCAAATAGAATTTCCGATATATATTTACTAATATGTAATTTGTATCTACAAAGCGAAAGTATGTTTTGAGATCCGAAATCTGTTTAATCAATTTCACGCGGGGGATTGGAAGTTGATCTGTCAGCCACTATCCTTATCTTCAGGGCAGATGTTTTTATTTTATTTTGGTTTATAATTCCGTACTAAGTGTAGTATTTCATTCTGTCTTTGATATGATTTAAATCAAGTTCCTCGTCATTATAATTCACTTCCGATAGTGAAGAAAGTGACCCAGAGGTTATTGAAAACGAAAACAATTTCGATTGACAAATTAGTCGGTATTCTCAACACAGCAATTATAGGACTTGAACAGCGGAACTTTGTAACTAAACAAGAAATTATGTCTGTTTAATAGAATTAAAGAGAAAGTATTATCACATGAAACGAAGCAACTTACATTGAAGGAAATGTTTAATAAAGTAAACAAATAATATTAAGCTTTTTTCTTTTTGTAAATTTTGATACCCTTTAGATCATAATTGTTCTTTATTTCATAAAGTACAGTTTCATATTTTTAATTTTGTAATTTCTGCATGCCATCTTACCAGATTTAAACTGATGATCTATAATCCGGAAAAATCGATAATCCGGAATCGCCGAAGTCCCGACGAGTCTGGATTAACAACTTTTGACTGTATAAGAAAGGATAATATAACAAAATAGAGTAAAATGAAATTCTGCTAAAAATATAACTTTGAAACTCCCTGGAAACAGATGAGTTTCAAAAAATGTTGCTTATCCTCCGGAAGATTGCAACTTACTTTAATCTTCTGATTTCATAAAGAAACTAGTGCAATGCACTAATATTTTTATTGGCTCAATTAAAGAGCTCTTTTCTCAAGGAAGAGATGAAAGAGAGACTAATTGAAGCTGAAATTAAAGCATTTATTGGATTGTTGTATCTCATTGGTTTGCATAAATCATCCCATGTATATACGAGTATATGAGATCTTTGGGCAACAGACGGCACTAGAATTAAAATATTCTATACAACTATGTCATCAACATGTTTTTATTTTTTATTGAGATGCCTTCACTTTGATGAGGGACAAACCCGCCAGAGCAGGAGAGAATTCGACAAACTAGCTCCAATACGTGATTCTTTGTTTGTAGAAAATTGCCAAGAATCATACAACGTGGGAGAATATGTCACAATAGATGAAAAACTAGAACCTTTCACAGAGGTTGATGCCTGTTTTGGACAATATATATATATATATATATATATATACACACACACACACACACACACAAAATCCAAATAAAGAATCAAAATTTTTGTGCTGGTTGACTCCAGAGTTTTCTACACTTAGAAATTAGAAATTTATGCATCCTAAGTAATGTGGTAAAATGACTAATGGAATCCCTTTAAAACTCAGGAAGGAATTTAACACTGGACAACTAGTAGACATCTTATCCACTTTCTCAAGAACTTTCGAAAAGAAAAAAAAATAATTATAACAGTTGTTGGTACTTTGAGGAAAAATAAAAAAGAAATTCCTCCAATATTTTTTAACACAAGTAAAAGAGAAGTTTACTCCTCCCTCTTTGGTTTCAGAAAGAAACTACTATTGTTATCCGTGCAATAAATGCACGGATAATTTTGTTATCAACAAAGAAACCACCTACTAGGCATCGAATATGATGTTCATTTCTAATAATACTGCCATTTCAACTGACAGGAGATTATAAGAACATAAGAAGTCAACAAGAAATGCTCTCACAAAGTCTAAAATTAACAACTTTTGACTGTATAAGTCAAAAGTTGGCAAAATAAAACTGGGCAATAATGAGGCCAATATACCTCCTGCTAAGAAGGTAAAGATGACATATATGCTGAATGTGGGGCCAAAAAAGAGAGAAAAACTAAGTTTGTCTGTGAAAAATGTGAAAAACATGTTGCATAGAACATATGACATGCATTTGCTGGAAATGTGCAAATTTAAGGTAAAATTTTTAATACATGTTTAAAACTATGTTTTCTCTTCTCTGTTTTTGTTCTTTTATATTTTGTGCAGATTTAATGGTAAAAGGGAGGAAGAAACCACCCTGTGTATGTCATACCCAGGATGAGCAATCTCGTTTGTTTTTCTCGTGCGAATAATGCCAAGTTAATTATAATAAAAATAGACAAAATAAAAATACATAAAGTAATGCGATGAACTTTCTTATAATTTCATACAAATATTTTAGTTTATAAGCACTATAACAGATTATAAATAAATAAACAAGTTTGTTATTCTTCTTTGCTGCATAAGGTAAAATTATGACAAAAATATTTTGTTTCGCAATACTATATGTATTTTCTCTTCTTTTTCCAACTAATTTTCCCACTTAAAAACTGAAAGGGGGAAAAAACATGGTGTTACTATTTCTGAAGAGATGGCTTAAATGATAAACATGGCATATTAAACAGCTTTGCCGTTTAATATGCCATGTTTAATAAGCCACACTAAGATTATTATTAGGTATTTCAAAGGACTTGCCAATTTCGATAATATTTTTTAATTACATAAAATATTTGTCTATTTATGTATATATTTTCTACTGTTACCATAAGCCACAAGTTTTTAAATCATATGCTAAACAAACTACGAGGAAAATACACAAGGGCAAGAAATTATGTGAATAAATATGGCACGTAAATAAAAAACACAAAAGCAAGTAAAATTAATACCAATTTACCTTAGGTGCTATATCAAACTCTTTTTCTTTGAAACACAAACCACATATTGAGCCCAAAGTGCTATAAAAACATAATATAAAGCATTATTTTACAAAAATTAACAGTATTTTTCCCCACAGAATCAAATAAATGTTTTAGAATGAATTACAACAAAAATTCCATAAATTACATTTAGAAGACTCGAGTAGTTAATGATAGTTCTTCATGCAGAAGCAATAAATACACAGAATTTTATAAAATGTTTTTAGATTCAATTAATTCAATAAAAAAATCCACAAATTATATTTTCAAGACAAGCATACACAGCCTTCAAAGCAAAATACTTAAAAATTTAAATATGTTAGATGTAAGAAGAGATGGCTTTATCAATGCCCAATAACTCATTAACTATCAAATATGTACAAATTGTCTATTTTTACAGTTTAGACAGCAGTTAGAATACAGTTTAGAAAAAGGTTTCTGACATTAAGAGATTAAATGATGAGCAGTTCTAAGCAGATTATTGTAAAAAATATTGACCGATTTATTTATTTATTTATTTATTTATTTTTCAAAATGGAGATTTTATTCACGGTATAGAAGAAAACCAAAAAGAAACTTCTATAGAAACTCACTTTCCAGAGAACATGGGTAGGCTTCAGTAATAACACACAGTCAACTTGTTATATTACTTGCTGTTTGGTTTAATATAGCACCCTCTAGGATCAGCGCCCTCTTGTGAGAGGAGCAGAATTTAGTGGAGTTGGTTGTTGAAGAAGGTGCGCAGCGGACCTATGGTGCGTTCCATCGTTCCACTTTGTCTGTACTAATGGAGCACCTAACTTGTAACCTTGTACGTTATGTAAATAATTAAATATTTGTGTGGACTAACTTAGTTAGTTTTATTTTGGAACCAGCGCAATTATCTCTTGTAACTCATAGCATTTTATACCAAAAAAAATTTATGGTCCGCTCGCGGAGTTGTTTTGTTTTTGTTAAGTAAGTTCGTATTAGTATAGAATGGCCACTATAGTTGCTTTAAATCGAAAGAAGGGCTCACTGAAAGCCCAGCTAACTAGAATAGAGACTGTCATAGCGGACAGTACCAGCGCATGGACAAAAATCAAAATAGATGCCAAGCTCAAGGCCTTGGAAAAGATGTCTGTTCAATTGGATGCACTTTGATCGGAATATGATATTGCTGTGCCTGAAAAGGATGATACTTCTGAATTAGAAGAGGAATTATTAGATCTAGAAGCAAGAATCGATGATCTAGAGGTAAGTTTCAACCAAATGTTAATTGATAATGTTGCTAATATTAATAAGGTTGATATCGCAAAGAGTAGTTGTAAAATAAAGTTACCTGAAATTCCACTTCCTCAATTTAGCGGAAAGTATGAAGAATGGAACATGTTTAAAATTGAATTTAATAATATTGTTACCTCTCGAATACTCAATTAACAGATGCACAAAAGCTACACTTATCTGCATGTCCGCTCTTAAGGGAGAAGCAAAATTGTTGCAAACTCAGGAAGATACTTTTGAATCATTATTTAGGGCTTTAGAAAATCCCTTCGAAAACAAGAGGAATTCTTGTTAATATTCACATTAAAGCTATTTTAGAATTCGAAAAATTATTCATGAATCATCGAAAGAATTAAGGCATCTAGTAGATGCTGTGAATAAAAACATTAGAGCTTTAAATAATTTGGGTTTCGAATGAAACAAATTCTCTGATATTTTAATTACTACTGTCATTTTAGACAAAATAATACAAGGAAACTCGAAAACAATTCGAATTATCGGTAAATACTTCAGATGTTATTAATTTCGATAACTCGATGACATTCTTAGGAAAAAAAAAGTCAAACTTTGGAAAATATAAAAAAAAAAAAAAAAATCAAAGCAAACGAATGAAATAAAATCTAAAAAAACCTTCTTGTTCATTCAAATAAATTCGGAAAGAAACTGCGTTATATGTAATTCGCCTCATTCCCTTTTTAAATGTAGTAAATTCCTTGATATTGAATTTTGGTGAAAGATTTACGCTAGTAAAACAAAATAACTTATGTCTAAACTGTTTGGCAAAAAGCCACATTGCGTCGCAATGTCCGATCGAATCATTTTTGCAATATTTGCCCTTCAAAACATCATACATTGCTTCATAAGGATGAGTCATCGAATTCGGATTCTGTTTCAAATAAACATTCACAGACGATAGAGCAGAAGAGAGCTGGGGGGAAGGATATTTCTCCGGTGCCTAATGAGAGGGCGACGAGTCTTTCAAATTGTTTATTAGCTATGAATAAAAGTGTTATCTTGCCATCTGCAATTGTTATGATGAAAACTTCGAAGGGGACATTCATCAAAGGAAAGGCTCTTCTTGACAGCTGCTCACAGATTAACTGCGTGTCTGATCATTTTGCAAAACAATTAGGGATTAAAAAAACAAAGGTTTTCGCTCTGATTTCAGGATTAAATGGAACTGATATTACTTTAAATTATAAACTGAGGACTTCAATTGCCAATAAGGAAAAAACGTTCTCTAGAGAACTTTTATTTTTTTATTGTTCCCAAAATTACAGAAATGACTCCCCTTACCCCCATTCCTATTGAAAATATTGACGTCCCCAGGGATATTTCCTTAGGTGATTACAGATTTAACATACCTGAGGAAATTGATTTATTACTGGGTGCAGAATTTTTTCTTATTAAAATCGGGTCAAGTTCGCAGCGCGATAAAGACTTATTGTTCCAGGAAACGGTTTTTGGATTTGTAGTTAGTGGTATTGTGCATAATTCACCACTTGAATCACAATACTGTGGTCTGCTTACGCAAAATGAAAAAATTGAAGAAACATTGCAAAAATTTTGGGAGGTATAAAATATTAATTTTCCGGATTCAGCTCTTAGTCCTGAAGAGAAATATTGCGAAAAACATTTTAATGAAACTCATTATCGAACCTCGAAAGGTCAGTACGTCGTATGCATGCCCATGAAGGACGCTGAATTGTTGGGTGAGGTCTAGATATTTAGCAGAGAAAAGACTTAATCAGGTTTGGGAACGATTGGGGTCGGGACTCGAATTTATAATGATTGTATTCTGAATTCATGCAAGAATACAAAGATTTAAAGCATATGGAACTAGCTGAGGGATCTGAATCCATAAATGATTTGTACTACCTGCCTCACCATGGGGTTTACAGACCAGACAAAAGCAGTACACGTTTAAGAGTGGTTTTTAACGCCTCAACTGCCACGACATCGGGATAATCATTAAACGATATTTTGTTGAAGGGAAGAATTCCACAGCAGGAATTATTTTCTATAATGGTTAGATTTAGAAAACATCGCTACGCCTTCACAGCAGATGTACAAAAAATGTATCGACAGATTCTAGTCCATCCTCCACAAAGAGACTTGCTCAGAATTCTATGGAAGGACAGTGTTGACGCACCAGTGCAAACTTATAAGCTCAACACAGTAACGTATGGAACGTCAAACACTCCCTATCTACCAACTCGAGCTCTTAAGCAGTTAGCTATAGATGAAAGCCAAATCTTACCTCTAGCGTCGTCCGTCGCTCTTACTGACTTCTATGTCGACGACATACTTTCCAGAGAATCATCACTCGAAAAGGCTAGAATTCTACAATCCCAATTAATAGATTTGTTAAAATTAGGATAAATGGAATTGCATAAATGGCGTGCAAATCATCCAGATCTGCTTGTATCTGAAAATAAGGTTACCACTCATTCAGATTACACTTTTCAAGAGCAACAAGAATCTTCATCCGTAAAAACTTTTGGTGTCTTATGGAATTCTCAGACTGACTGTTTTTTGTTTACAATGACCATTCCTCAATCAAACAGTTATAGTAAACGAGAAGTGATCTGCCTGCTGAACGAGTGTCAGTTGAATCAACCTTTAACAAATGTGGACTCAATTTTTGTGGTCCGTTTCTTATAAAGGCAAAAAATCAAAGAAAAGGAATTTTTCAAAAAAATGTATGTTGCAGTATTTGTGTGCCTTGCTACAAAGCAATTCACTTAGAAATTGTCTCAGACTTATCTTCGGAAGCATTAATTGCTACCCTTAAGAGATTTTTCGCTAGCAGAG